ACACAGGTACACAAGCTCAGAGTGGCTTCAGTCATTTCTTTTATTCTGTTATTTTAAGATCTTGAGTTAATTATCTTCTTGTCTATCTCTTCTTATGAAAGATTAAAACAGTAACTTCACAACGGAGTGTATCTCAGTACTTTCATATAAGTACCATACTTAAAGGTTTAGGGCAGGGGAGCCATCCTGCAGCTCCTTAGCTCCTCTCCAGTGGCTCCCTGCGGCTTTGACGATAAATGATATGGGAATGAATAACCCTTAGGGATGCACCGAAATGAAAATTTGTGGCCGAAGCCGAAGCCGAATAATATTAAACGCTTAGCCGAATACCAAGTACCGAATACCGAATATTGTTGTTTAGTTTTTAATTAGTTTTTGCAGATGAACCCCCTCCAGATTAGTGTTGTCATGGTACCAAAATTGGGACCCACTGTACGATACCAATGAAAATATCATGGTTCTGAGTAGTATCATGATACCACAGCTAAAATGAGTCAGATGTTCCTTTTGTCATTTATAAAAAGATAAATCACTTTTCTATAATACATCAATGATATTTCAATGGAATAAATTACTTACTGACTTATTCATACTTCAAAAACAGCATCAATAAGTGATTAACATAGGGGGGATCAAAATAAAATAAATTAATAAAATAAGAATCAACCAGCCACCCTCCTCCCCTGACAAGTCCCTTCATAAGTAAAGAACAGTCCCTAAAGTGCGGTGAGGTTTGTGGGCCGTGAACGGCTCGTTCCTCCTCTGACACATCACATACCTGTGTTCGACTGGCTCGGCTGTTCAGGTACTTCTGGGCAGTCATGACGCCAAGAAGAGGATATTATTGGAGCTGAATTGTCCGTCACCTGGTAAGCCGATGGCCGCCGTATTTGACAGGAATACATTAACGTTACTGTCTGTGTCTGTGACCCCCGTTCAACCCACAATCGGTGGGATTCGCCTTTCGTTTCTGCTGCTGGTTGAAATCTGTAGGCTGCTCGCACAGCGTGCTGAATGATTTAAGCCTATTTTGCTCGCTCAAAACTATTTTTAGTCGCAAATGCGAGTGCCCTGACGGGCGGATCGCCACACTGCCGACATTTTACTCTGCCCGTCACCGCACGCTGTTTGATTGCGTTATCAAAACACTCCACTATTATTCGGCCTTGCTTTTAACTTATTCCACTGAATACCAAATGTGTGGTTTTTTTTTTCAATATTCGGCCGAATATATTCGGTTACCGAATATTCGGTGCATCCCTAATAACCCTTATTTATTTATTTATTTATTAACATTTTAATTTTCATTTATTGTTGTAGGCCTAAAGTGATTCTTACATTGCTCAACTTCTTTACATTTTGTCAGCTAATATGTGTCATACGTGTGTCATTTTCCTCTAAAACATCCCTAGCGATGGCTTCAGTAGTCTTGAGTCTTCCTCGCTGGGTTAGCTGTGGATTCCAAATCCAAAAGGGGAAAAGTCTGAGGGGAAAATCAAAGATGTAATAGTACGTTGGCAAATTTGATTGCTTTGATCAGCAGCACTGCAAAGTTAAAGTACCAAATAATCATGAACAGCCCACTGCTGAGGAGCCACCGTGTGCTAAATGAATGCTTATTTAGATCTACTAGTTATGTTAAAAAGCTAAGCCTTTTATAGGCATCTGCTCAAAAATTGCATACGCATAATGAAATGAATATGTCTCTGCAACCACAAGGTGTATTTGAATACTTTTGGTGTCATGGTAAAGGGAACACTTGTGAGATTTGTTAAGATGTGTAAATATCAGTATATGTGTTATATGTGAGGAGTAAATGAAGATGGCACACTTCACAAAGGAAACATTTTTAGGTTTGCTTAAAAAAAAAAAAGCATTTTCAGGATGAGTATCAGTTTGGAATGATGCAACAGCAGCAGCTCTAAACCTCTATCACATCATAGTACAATATGTGAACATGAACTCTGCAAAGGCTGATTCTGATAAAGTGAAGCAGAACAATATTAGAGAAGTTTTAGTACAGAAAATTCAGGCGAGCTCTCCAAAACTGCACCATGTTTGCATGTGATTTTTGTCATGTATAATCCTTTATCTTTCATTTTTTGTTTCTGTAAATCCCTACTGATGTTTAGGATAAACACATACAACTGTCTGTTTCGTTTTTTTCCTCTATTTCCCACTCTAAACTGACCAATACACACCTACTACATTTGAACCTGAGTTTCTATTCTGAGCTTTGGAGGCCTGTATCTCCACGACGGCTTGGCCGATTTGAGTGATTGACACCTCGTTTGATTTGTTAGAGCCAATACAATGACGCCACCAAAATGAGATTGACAGCACTGTAAGCCAATCAGAGTCATCAGAATGCATTGTCGGGGAGATGTCAGCTGCTGTGAGTGGTCATTTTGATGCTTCCCCCGGAACCTCTGGCCGGCAAGTTTTTCTGCCTGGATTCATTTGAATGATGGACAACAGCTTGGTAAGTGTAAGTGTGATTCAACGGCAGAATGCGCTTTTCACGGCAAAAACAACAAGGTAAGAGAGATATTACAAATATATTTTGGCGAAAAGATTTCTGTTGTTGTTGTTCTTTGGCCTGTAGCTCTCTGATGCTTTGGTGCATACGTGTGGAAACAGCGGAGTCTCAGCTTTCATTTGAGATGAACGGCATGTGTTTTGCATAATGTGTTGTCAAGTTAGAGCCCAAAATATACCGAGTGGGTCGGGATATCGGTGCTGTTGGAGTTGGATTTTTTGTTGTTAATTTAGTTGTTGTTGGAGCTGTGTTTGGGGCGTGTGAAAGGGGTTTTTACAGCCGTGTAGCCCAGGTTCTGCTGTTTAATTTGATGTGCAACATCACTATATTCTTCGTCATCAGTGTATTGTTTCACACTGTGCTTGCAAAGTCGCTGTCAAAGTCCCCCAGTTGGGCAACTTTTGGGCTTAACAGGTTTTAATCAGCTGAATTTGACTTATACGTCTGTGTTACCTTTATTATGAGGCTCAAACATGTTTTGTGGCTCCAGACAGATTGTTTTTTTCTTCTTTGGCCAAAAAAAGCTCTTTTGATATTAAAGGCTGCCGACCACAGGTTTGGGGGTTTAGCAGTATCTAGTTAGCCTGGTGAGACGTGATGACGTGAGCTCAACGTTCTGTTTCTCTGTATAAGTCTGGACTCGGCACCGCTCCGCCTGGTATACAGAAATTAAAATGCAATTGGGACCAATCAGGAATCCACACTGAAGTTGACATGTAAGCAGCCAATCAGTGACCGTGCTGTAGTTGATGATGTAAAATGCAGGCCGCAGCTTGCAGAACAGTAATGGCGGCTCATGATGCAACAAGCACTAACTCTGACGTTAGGAAACGCAGCAATATTTCAGAAATGGAGTCAATAACAACTGTTTGAAAGCTGAGTAAATTTGCTTAAGTTCTTTTAAAAACATGGGAGGAAGGCAACAAGCAACTAAAGGGATATGACCCAAAAAAATAACAAGAAATTAGTAAATTAAAAACAGGTTTAAAAAAACAACAACAAGTAAATGACTTGGACAGAGTCCTTGAAAATAATAAAAATTCTGTAACATAATTTAAAACTGTAGTAGTGATAATAATAAATATAGTCTTCCCTATTTTTTCTTCTTTCCCTATTTTTTAAAAAAAAGTAATTTCAAATTCTATTTGTGGAACATTTCTTACCAAGTTGCTCAGTGCCTATTTCCCCATGACTCTGAAAGATATAGCAGCGATCTGCTCAGTGGTCAAAGGTTTAAATACTTGTGAAAGGCATCTAAAAGCAGCACAACTAAAATTATGTCGTTCCAGGTTTGAAAGGGTTAAAGAGGAACAAGAGTATGACATCGCTGAGTGTCTCTGAGGAAAAGACATTTTTGCTGTTCCTCTGACTGGATTTGGCACAAGCTCGATTTATCGGCTGGCTCTGCGGGTGATGAAGATGATGTTCCCTGATGTTTTGTTACACTGATTGTTGAAGGAGTTTGTCTGTCAAGGTGAGTACTCCGCCCACTTTGGGGCGGCATCGGGTCCAGAGTGATACAGAGAGCCAAACAGAATGTTAATGTCATCAGGATGATTTCACCAGGTTAGTATCCAGCAGTGAGGGCTGCAGATTGCAACCAGATGAATCTGCTCCTGGTGACAGTGATTAGAGGTGATCACAACCAGCAGAAACACTGAATAAAACAGTTTCATGTTACAAATCAGTGTTTGATGCTGCTCAGCATGTCGGAGGCGGGTGTCTCACCCACTGCATGCTAATCTGTGCCCACCTTTTCTCTGATAACTTCAGATCCAGATGTTCAGGAGGTTTTTACTGAGAGCTGAGTTATTCTCAAAGTTCTCTTCCTCACTGCCAGTGTTTGGTTTGTCCATTCTGGGCTACTGTAGAAACATGGCGATCTCTGTAGACGAGGACCTGCTCCCTGTGTAGATATAAACGGTTCATTCTGAGGTAACGAAAACACGACGATTCTCATTTTTTAGATGATTATAAATTAAAGGAAACAGACTCATTATGTAACCCCCCGAAACCCTGCACACTGGAGCTTTGAGGATATTTTGTTGCTGATACTTGTACTTTTATGTACTTTGTTGAATGTAGGACCTTTGCTGTGACAGAGTATTTATACACTCTGGATTACGGACGAGCAGTATGGAGATATTTTGTGGTTTCAATTATGTGTTTTTGGACGTTTGAATCTGGGGCGCCGTCAGCCTCCATTAGGTGGAGTTTTGTTGCTACCTCCTCTCCCCTTGGATCTCTGCAAGTGATGTAAGAACTCTAAAACTCCACCTGAGCCTCCCTCGGCATATGGGTGAGTAGATAATGGCTGAATTTTCATTTTTGGGTGCACTATCCCTTCAAGTAAAAGATGTGAATTCTTCGTCCACTTTAGTTCTGTGAATTAAAATCTGGACAAAGATTAAAATAATAAATGGACTCAGACTGGTAAAAAAGAGCCTCACACACACTGATCTGTCAAAAAGAAGAAATAAGGTTTATTTCTTTATTAATCTTATATACAGACATTTACAGCAATCGTTGCTAAAGTTATTGACGGTGGTTATGGTAACTTCCTGTTGTCTACGACAGTGTAACAGAGATCACGTCAATTATTAGAGACTGTGTCCAGGTGTAGCTCCAGTCTGAGAGAGTAAATGATGTACAGTAGATATATATAGTGAAGAAGAAGCAGGGTCGTCAGTATGAAACACAACAAACACAGTTCAGCAATGGTTTCTCCTGCATTCACTAAACACTAAACACACAATAAACTGTTGCTTTAACTTGATCTTTACAGAGGTCCTTCCACATGAGATGATACTGTAGGGTTAAGGAGACCGCCGTGGGACGCCCTGCAGACAGAAATACGAGGAGGCGGTCTGACATCATGTGAGTAACCTCTCTTTACAGCACTTCAACTGTTTTTGGTTTTCAGTACAAAAGCTATGTGTTTCTGAGATCACCCATAATTCAGTATGTTTACAGACAAACAGCAAATTAAACGTTTTAATGTCACGAAGCAAACAGACGTTTGTTTTTTTAGCGTCCTGCGTCTGTAACTGAGCACATCTGTGCCGGTAAAGCTTCATGAGTTATCAGACTGCTTCAGTATTGTATTAGTCATTTTGTGATGGTGTCACAACAAAACAGCATCACTTCATGATAAACTTTAACCCCTTCAGGTAAAAGAGATGAACTGACTCTGAGCTTCAGGCCTGAAGATCTAAACGTTGCTCTCACATTAAAGGAATACTTTAAGGAGTTTGGGGAAATTAACCTGTCCGAGGTTTCACAAAGAGTTGAAGCAGATGAGAGAATTTATACATGCTTACAGTTCAAGGTATGATGTGCATATCATTAGCCTAGCCTAGCACAAAGAGTGGAAACAAGGGGAAACAGTTAGCCTGGCTCCAGAGCTCTGAATCCAGTCGGACGTGGTTCCAACCTAACTGTCAGAAAAAGATGTTGGCATTGTAAGTTTGTGGAAACCGTGGATATGTTACGTTATTATCATAGACTGTAAAAATAATGGACGTAGCAACTGTGACCAATTTGTTTACAGACTCATGTTTTGAAGCCTCAAATTCACCATTTCAGCCGTCGCCATCTTGAATTTTGGAGCCATGGACCATATTTAGGTGAAATTAGCCCTGAAATTAGCCTTTTTTTTGTTGCTTCATTTTTCAGCCCTGGCGGCTGCTGATTGGTTATTGTGTAGAAGAAACTTTATGTTTCAGTAAAACTGTGGTTAACACGTGGTCAGCGTTAGGCTAAAACTCCCACTTGGTTCAACACGTTCTCATCCTAACTTGTTGAATATCGCTGCTTTGTCAGTGCTGTTTACGTCTACATGTTATGCACTAGATTGCATTTGTTGTTGACGTGCAGGGACATTGTGTCTTTTCTAAATATGTCTCCAAAACCACAGGAAATCTACAGTTTCTGTAGCCTGGAAATCCAGACTCAAATCCAGAAAGATTTTGAGTCTGGCCCTCACCAGTGCATCCTTCCTATCCAAGGGGCGGCACTAACTGAGGCATCTTAAATGCCGCCATGCGCAATTGGATAGCACGATGGCCAATCAGAGCAAAAAACAAGGTGACGTATTCATTGCACTAAGCCCCATTTGTTTGCTGACCAGTGGGGCTAACTGATATATTATGCTTTTGCTGTATCTCGTCGGCAAAACGTTAAAAACGTCCTTCCTGGAAGCGAAGGCCTCTATGGCAGTCTTCTGTTCCTCTCTCAAGGAAAAAGATAAGTGTAGTTGGCTTAGCGTTTCTTCCAAAGCTAAACTGAATGGACGCGGTCAGCTGCCATCTTGGCTGTTTACTTTACGACTCCTGTGGCGCAGCATTGTCTTCATCATGTTACGCCCGTACAGAGCCCGCCTCTGTGAGATAGACTGATATGATTGGTCCTATGGCGATTCAGTGGGCTCTGCTCGTCGGGGCCAGATCCCCGTGCAGTGCACATTTGAACTTGCTGGGGGCGGGGCATCTGGATTTCCAGGTTACAGTTTCTGCTCATTAGATGATGACCCTTTCAAAATAAACTTACGTTGGTATTTATTTCTTTGTGCAACACAAGCATGGGGTTAGGTTTGGAAAAAAAAACTTCATGGTTTGGCTCTACTATCACACGGGTCACAAACATCGGCCTCCCGGGTGGAAGTCCAGGGTTTGTTTGACCCACCACTCCTGCTGCCCGCCAGCTCCTTATATTACGTAGTTCCTGGCTGCATTTTAAACTGACGCCTCCTGTCTGCTCATCATACTGCTGTGACAGGTGCCGGCCGGCTGACCAGCGGCATATCATACCACCAAGAAAGACTCTGTCAGGCCGCGTGACAAACTGATGCTGCCTGGCAGTGTGTCATACCGCGGCATTTGAAGTTTGAAATGAAAATGGGCTGCTTGGTTATGGTTTGGGAAAAAAAATGTTTTGGTTTAAAATATTCTTTTTGGGGGGCGGAGCCTCTGCTGGAAACACAAGAGTGATTCGAGAAACACAACCAGGCATCTCACCTGGGTGTCACGCCATTCACCCCCCCCCCCCCTCTACAAATGTATTGTAGTTTATAGAAACGTACAATGCCAACATGTTCTTCTGGTGACTGGTGGTTGTTCTCTATGATCCAAGATGGTGCCTCGTTCATTCAACTCAAAGTTTCTCACTGGCTGATTGACCAAAATGGTTTCTCATGTTTTCTCAGTCTTGTACATTTTTTGTCCCGCAGAGCATTAAAGTCTTTCTCAGGCCAAACTAGGAGGTGAATAAGCACTGATGATTTAAAGGCTGCTGTCTGTGATCGGTTCTGATGGAAAGGATCAAAATCACAGCTTCACCTCATTAACCCTCATCTATCCTCTCAGATCACCGTCAGAAGATCCTCCGAACTGAAGCTGTGAATGTTTCCTTTTCATGAACATGTATAGTTCACATCAGTGACTGGCAGTAATATTTTTGTATTCCATGCAGGTTACGTAGACGTTATGTGACCCAGATATCGCCCCGGACTACGTGCAGATGTTGCAAACGTTGCAGCTGTTTTCTGATGAGTGTGAATTATTAATTGACCCATATTACTCTGCAGGGGTGGGGGGGTTACCACAGGGCGGGTTAACAAGGTCATGTGCGGTACTCCTCCTCCTCCTCCTCCTCCTCCTCCTCCTCCTCCTCCTCCTCACAGCCTGAGAGTCAGGATGGCAGTCAGACAGGCCAGCAGGAGAGAAGAGGAGGATACTGAACCAGCACTGGTGGTAATAACATATGTCTTCACATGTATGTTGCGTGTTACGTCTCTCTCTCCCTTTTCCTCCGTCTTATCTGTACTTTCCTTTCTTTTCTCGTCCTCCTTCTTCTTGTCCTCCTTCGTCTCTTTCTCCTCCTTCGTCTCTTTCTCCTCCTTCATCTCTTTCTCCTCCTTCATCTCCTTCTCCTCCTTCTTGTCCTCCTCCTCCATCTTTTCTTCAACCACATCCTCCTCACCCTGTGGTGTTGAGGGGACCTCTGCAGGGGCGAAGCTGTCAGGTGGCTGGGCCTCCTCAGAGTCCTGGGCGGAGGAGGGGGTGGTGGTGGTGATACTGGGAGCAGTGGTGGTTGTGGCCGGCTGGACATCAGAGTCAGTGGTTGCAGGAGGAGGAACGACAATCTCCTCCTCTTCCTCCTCTTCAGGCAGGAGGGGGGGGATTTGGATTGTTGGAAAAGGAACAACTGCCTCCTCGTTATCATCCTCCTCCTCCTCCTCCTCCTCCTCCGACGACACCTCTTCCTCCTCAGCAACTAGAAAACACAAGAAGAATATCACTTTTAAAAAACTCAGATTGTCTCATGAGGATTAACAGACTTCAACTCATAACATATCGCCGCTTTGTCTACACGTCAGGCGCTAGGTGTCCTTCTGTATTCGCATGGTGACATTCCAGGACGCTGGAACCAACGTTGGGAGGTCAACATTACCACGTGGTTAGGTTTAGAAAAAAACCATCATGAACCATGGCCTCCTGGGTGAAAGTCCAGGTCATGTTGGATCCATCCACCTCCCCTGCCACTGGACTCTCACGCTCCTTATATTACATCGTTACCAGCAGCATTTCAAACTGATGCCGTCCTGTGGCGTGTCATACTGCTGCAACAGGTGCCGTCCAGATGATCAACGCCTTTTTGTAACATCACGACAGCTTCGGTTTGGCCAAGTTACAAACTGACGCCACCTGGTGGCATATCATACCACCACGAAAGGTGGCTTTTGGTGTTGGTGTCTGACGGTGAAATCAATGACAAAGCTGTGATTTTTGACGATTTTGGAATGAAAACAGGATGAATATAAATATAAATTTCAACCAGATTATGTAAGCTAAATATATTCTAATCACTTGGAGAAAGAAAACATGGCGTGTTTTGTCCTCATGATGCACTCCGGCAGCACTAAACCCCTGAGCTTGCCTGACAAGGACTAAATGCACACACATTATTCTTAAATATCCCATGAAGAGAGACTCTCACTGCAGCCTGTTCTGAAAATGTCTGTGTGCCTCGTTCTGTGGACAATAAACGACTAGCTGATGTTCCTCTTAACAGATCTAGGTACAGGTTCAGTGTTTGGTGGTAACCCGGCTTACATATGTTCATTACTCAGCGTAACATAAGAAACTTCAGTATGTCAGTTAAATAAATCAACACTAACGTTTGGTTTCTCACGGGACATGAACTGCAGCCTCCTGGGTGAAAGTCCTTTGTTTGTTTGTCGCTCTTTAAACTATGTCACCTGACTTCCATCTTTGCTTCCATCACTAAACCTACTATTTCCACACGGTGATACAGTTTACAGGTATAGTTTGTGTAAGGACAACACAAGACAACAAGGTTTGTGGATTATATTGAGTAACCAGGTCAGGATCTGGGAAAGACAGTGATGTTGAGTTTTCCAAATATTGTTTTGGCACTTTGAGCACCACAAGTCGAGCCCATCTACTTCCATTATATAAACGTCCCTTTAAAGTTTGATTTAAGCACCACAGTCTGGTGTAGAATTTATGGGTTTGTGCTGCTAAAATACCATTTCATGTGTAAATGAGAGAATTAAACCTGAGGTAGATGTGAGGAGAGAGGAACAGACAGAGCAGGAAAGACGTACCACAGAGGTTGTTTTCACATTTCTGGAGGTTTTCAGGACATCTGGAGCACCAGTCACCTTCCTCAAATGGCCTCTCGTCTTCATAGTTCCCCCTGAGGACACAAAAGTTTAAACACACACACACACGGTGTTAGTTTATAATACTATAATGACTGTGAGGTCATGTCTAATTCATGTCTTTGTTATAATCAAATCTGATTTATCCAACTTACAGTATCAAATAAAACGTCTTGTTCTATAATCGTAAATAAATGTACTGTCTATACACAAAGAGACTATGTAGAGAGAAATATTACTGTCCACAGGGGGGAGCTGTTGCTCTAGCAGTGCAGCAGCAACACTGGTACTATTACATAAAGCAATGGTGGCAGCAGTGTAGTATATTTAACAGTAGTACAAGCTGTAATGCTAGCCATAGCTTTAATAGGTGTGGAACCAAAAGCAGCACTACTTCAATTAGTAGCACAAGTAGTAGTTGTAGTAGTAACATTTGAAATAAAAACTACTACTAGTGGTGGTGGTGGAAGTAATAGTAGTAGTAGTTAATAGTAGTAAGAGCACCAGTAAAGGCAAGAGCAATACTACATGTAATGCAAGCTGTAGTAGTAATAGTAGTAGTCCTATGGTGGTGTAGGGTATTAGAAATAGTGGTGGTACTTTACTAGTGGTAGAAGTTGCAGTAGTAATAGCAGTAGAGGTAGTGGTGGTAGGGGTACAGTACAGTAGTAGTGCCAGTGGTGGTTGTAGTTTAGTGATACAGTAATGAAACAGTATATTCATTCGTAGTAGTTGTAGTAGTGGTATGTCAGTTAGTAAAATTAGTTTAAGGAGCGCCAATAATAGTAGCAGTTGTACTTTGTGGTAGCAGTGTTAGTTGCAGTAGACATGGTGGTACTGTGGTGGAGGAAGTAGTGGTTGTAGTAGTAACAGTTGAAATAGTGGTGGAGATAGAACTACTAGTGTGCTGGTAGTGGTAATAGTGATAGTAGCAGTTTGATTATTAGGGAAGAGTACCAGTAAACGCAACAGCAATACTACCTGTAGTACTAATTGTAGTAGTAGTATGGTGGTAGTAGGAGAAGGAGAAGTCATGATAGTAGTAGAGGTTGTGGTAGAAGTAATAGTAGTAGTAGTGGCAGTACTAGCATTATTTGTGATAGTACTGTAGTAGTAGAAGAAGAAGAAGAAGGAGAAGTCATGATAGTTGTAACAGGAGTAACAGTAGTAACAGTAATAGTACTAACGCTGGGAAGTAGTTGCAGACGAGGAAGGAGACTCTCTCCCACTCCAGACCCACCATGCTGTTACAGAGATGGAAGGCACAGCCAACTCTGTGTGTATCTGCCCACACCATCTGTAACACACACACACACACACACACACACACACACACACACACAGAGTTCAGACCCAGTCCACAGATACTAACGTGTGTATAAGTATGTGTGTATTTGTATCCGACCTGTGTGTAGTGTCCACACATCTTGTCTTCTTCACAGCTGTTGTTCTGGTAATTATAGTCCAGACGTTCTACAGGAATCAATTACATTCATCAATACATTAAATAAAGAGCAGTAGAAATGTGTCTGTCTACTATTCCACTGCTCTCGCTCTCAAAGATGGAGAAGCAGCTACTTTAGAATTTGGTCCTACAAACAGACTTACCCAGAAACCATTTCTCCAGAGCCACTGTGATGTTCAGAGGCCCGGTGCCGGCGAACAGATTCTCTCCGGTGTCCTCCAGTTCTGGGTTGTGGTTCCAGACGCATTTAGCAGCATAACCCTCTGCGATCACTTTCAGGCTCGTGTCCCATTTCTGCAAAGAACCAGTGAAAGTTATGGAGAGCAGAATTTGATCGGAAAGACCTTAAAACTTAAGGGTTTCTTTACACCGGCCCTTTTTGATTCAGTTGAATCGAACTCAAGTTAATTTTATTTGGGCAGGTGTGAACACAGCAATCACACTCAGGTCTGCACCAAGTCCATGTTACAGTCCTGGAGGATTATTAATGTGCACCTCCTCCTGTACTGCCTTAATATGCACATTCAGCACATCCAATGCATCAAAACATTGTTTTCTAGTTGGAGCCGCGCCTCGTTTTCAAACTGTATGGTTTGACTAAAATGAACAATGACAGCAATATAGTCCACGATGAGCAGCGCTAAAATAAACCTGCGTAGTTGTCCCTCCATTGTGACATTACAAAGTCTCACATTTATCTTGCAAGTGTACTCTTCTTCAATTTTTTGGAAATTCTGACCAAGACGACTCTAGGGCTGACAGCAGCCTGAGACACCCCCTGCCCCACCCCTTGTGTTATCAGGCTTCTGCACCAGCGATAGCTGATAGCCATTATGGTTTTGGGTTGTTTGTCTCATTCTTGTGAATGTGATATCTCAAGATTGCCTTGAGGGAGTTTATTCAAATTTGGCACAAACGTCCACTTGGACTCAACAATGAACTGATTAGAATTTGGTGGTCAAAAGTCAAGGTCACTGTCATAAAACATTTTTGTTGGCCATAACTCAAGTTTCTTACACTAATTCTGACAAAATTTCACATAGATTTCTAACTGAATACAATTACTAAGTGATGACTTTTTATATCTAAAAGGTCAAAGGTCAGCTTGACTGTGACATCATCATGTTTTAACATCATATCTCAGGAACAGAAGGGGAGACATTTGGTCAGATACTGAATTGGTGACTCTAATCTTGAGCCTGTGCTGATTCTATAGATCTTCTGTGTGTGAAGCATCCATGTTTTAGAATATTCAGCATCCATATTTGAAGCATCGTCTACTGTGACAGCTCCACATGAGTCTGGACAGACATGGATGTAAACAGTAACTACAATTTTTTTTTTTTTTAAGATATTTTTTGGGCATTTTTGCCTTTAATGCACAGGACAGGTAAGCGTGAAAGGGGAAGAGAGAGAAGGGGGATGACATGCAGCAAAGGGCCACAGGCTGGATTCGAACCCGGGCCGCTGTGACAACAGCCTTGTACATGGGGCGCCTGCTCTACCACTAAGCCACCGACGCCCCAACTGTAACTACAATGTGACTGGTTTGTGGAGGCAACAGTGTGGTGGTAATTCTAGTTTCTTAGAAGATCTGTGGTGCGGCTCATTTGTCAATGATCAATTTAAAATGTGGCCAACGCCAAAAACTCCAAACTACAAAGTTTTCTCAGATAAGGGAGTATAAAACCCCACGTTCCAACTTATAATTGAATGCAGCATTTCCAGACTTCAGTTCTTCCTGTGAGTCCGGCTGATTAACAGGAATGAAGAACATAAATCTTTCACGGCCTGAGAGAAAGTTTTTCCATCATGTTAACTGTCTTGAGTCATTTTATGAAAACAAGAAACACAAACATGAACAGAGAGACAACACAGATCCTTTCATGTAAAATGTTCCAGCACACTTTACATGAACCGCAGTGAAGTTTCAGGTGTTCATGTGTTCACACAGGAAGTCAGTAAACACAAAAAAAGGTTTAAATCATTTTTCGTAAGTTGAACTGATTGTTTTGTGACAGTTTATATCCCCTCTTTATTTCATTTTTCTCTCTTAAACCTGCTTTAAATTAGCATGATGATTTTATTGTGTAGCTGTTTTTGATTTATTACGTTTTGAGGCCTTTGAATGACTCAGCATTTATCACAGCGAGTGTAGGGTGTTTTCTTATTATTATATAACAGGTTTTATGTCTCTATATTGTAAAATCAACCACAGATTTTTGGCGCTGTCTTCAGTTTTCAGCAAGTGAAGTTAATTTGATGACCTCTCAGAAGAAAAACAGTGTTGAAAAATGATGTGACATTTAATATCATATCAAGGAAATGCGCAAAAGATACTCAGGAAAAAGGAAAGTAAAGAAACATTGAGACTGATAAACAGCACATTGTGTTTGACCCTGACTCTGGCATCACCCAAAAGTCATGCTCACATGTCTGACTCAGGAAATCATCACTGTCATGACTTCATTCAGTCAGAGAGGCTTCATGTGAAGACGTTTGTTGTTTCTGTCCTGTTTCCTTTACACACAGATAAAACCAGGAGGTGTTACAGTGACGCGGTGTGCTCTGTGATGATTACTCATTCAATAGGAAGTCCTCATATCCCACTTATCTTCTCCATGACCTGGTCTCTGACCCTCACCCTGTCACCAGCCTGTCTGAGCTATGTATTTACTTCCTGTCATGCTGGATGGTTTAATTTCCTCTTTACAAACAGATGTGTTGAGAGGTAGACCGTGACTCAGCTGCACAGATCTTCAGATTAGTTTTTGGTGCTTTGTTGGATAGAGGCAGGAAAGACAGTGGAGGGGGAGGGAGTCACATGCAGCAAAGGGCCTCAGGCCAGACTCAAACCCGTGGCGCTGCAGCGAGGACTCAGCCTTCATGGCATGCGCTCTGCTCAGCAAGCTGCTGGGACGCCAACAGCTGCAAGACCTTTGATTTGAACTGTAACAGAAGGAGCCACCAAACATTTGTGTGTTTTAAGGAGCAAGAGTGTTGAAAGAAACACTGTTTGGGATGATACACACCAGGGCTGTAATCACCTGTTTAACACTGGAAGACCATTTTCAACCTACAGCTTCTTGGACCCGACCTTCGATGGAGATTTGGTGTCGTGGTCCTACGTTTTGTTGTAGTTTATTTCCTGCTTTATTCTGAAGATCTCCTCATGTGTCCTGTCTTGTGTTACTTCCTACATTTGTCTGTTTCCCACTTGTTTCCTGACACACCTGCCTTCCGTCAGTCTGGTTAGTCCCTCCCTGTTAACAGGGCTGCACTCAGTAACAAGTTACTTATTACACTATGTTTGCGTTACTTTCACCATAGTCTCTATATACAGACTCTACATTCAGTGAATGTAGAGTCTGTTGTCAAACCCCGGAGATCTTTCCTCCGGAAGAAGAGCGGAAGAGCCCTGGTTTCCGGTTGTAGGCTGTTTGTAGTTCGCGTGATATTGACCAATCACGTTTGAGCCGGCTGCAGTTGTTGCCAGGTTAAACGGTCTGTACGGTGAACTAACGAGGCGGAACATAACTGCCGTCACTGCAAACTCTGAATCCATCGCAATGATTAAGCATATTTACTTATATATAAATGGAAGTTGGAAAAGGAAATTCGCCTCCTCCGCCCAAATCAAACTGGAATGCCAAAAAATTGGGGGTTTGCCTCTGATTGGTTCCAAGAATGCTTTCTCCAAAATGACCTCAGAAGAATTAATACTGATTTAAATTAATGAGGCTCATGTTGTTTCACAGCTGCTCCAGTTTATTACAGTTCATTTCAAATCCAGTGCTGCAGGTCTGAGCCATTCATGTGTTCACACACAGTGGTTACCACTTTGTATTAAAATCCCCTGCTTATATTAATAATAACATGATGATATAGAACAATTAAACAGCCCAGACCTTTTTAAGACATTGAATCTCCTTGGACACAGGGAGATCATTATGAGATATGGATAAATATTTGTGGGGCTATGATATGAAACACAACAAACTGAATGACGTGCGAGTCAGTCACTATGACGAGCACAAATTAACACACCAGAGCTGAAAGACACACCTGCCAGTTCCTGGTGTGCCGGTCAGCTACAGCAGCACCACAGAGAGAGTTATGTATAAGAACAGGACTGTATGTCGGTGTTGCTCTGCAGCTGTAGGAGATGTGAATGGAAACACACCCAACATATACTAACATCATCCAGATGTGCCGACCACTGGCACCCTTCTATAGTCTGTGGTGACATGACAACACAGAACAACCTTGGGGGGATGTTTTTCTGGTGACGCACTGGTGCAAGTGGAGCGATGTGGATCAGTGTGGGTGAATGAACGATGAAGTCAATGAACAGTTTATTTCAGATGATAACACATTATGTGACATTGTGAATGTGATAATATTACCCCACATCCTGCTGGGCCCTGTCCAAATACCCGCACTTGCGCCCTTGTGCCCCTTAATTGCACTCTCAGGGTAAGGGGCTCAAGGGCGTAGGGTGTCCCAATTGTCTTGTGTTGTTATCAAGGGGTGCAAACCTGCACCCTTAATGCACCCCTTCCGAAAGTGCGCATCAGACCTCACTTGGCTGAAGGATTTTACCCAGAATCCTCCGTAGTGTTGTGATGTTTCAAACAGCCAACCAATGGGAAGACGAAGGAGAAAGCAACGGAAAGAAACGGAAAGCAATGGAGAAGAAATGTCTTTTTAAGTGTAAGTGACATACACACACCTTATGATGTAGATGCCGCCTTCTCCTGCGGCTCCTAATCCTCCTCATCATTCGCTGATTGGATCTATTTATCATTTGCAGCAGCAGCGCTGCGAACAACGTTATTTCCTCTAACGCCATGTTTTGTCTCCTAGGAGACGGACCAGTTGGACCCAAACGGAATTGACGTGTACACAACTGTCCCAATTCTCCTTTTTAAACAGCGTCAGTCCCTTGCACACTTACGCCCCTAACTGCACTTTCGGCAAGTGCACTTCAGGGAAGACCTCAGGGCGCAAGTGCGGGTATTTGGACAGGGCCTTGGTAATGTGTTATTTTACCTCATTGCTGCTAAAAATGTATATAGTACTGTAACGCATTTCCCCCGACACCAGTTGTTACCGGCTTCTTCTTCTCTTACACATTTAATGCTATTGGACTTCCGGGTCAAAGCCCGGGGCGGAAACTGTGGAGCATGCTCAGATCGCCTCGGCCAGTTTGGGTCTGATTGACTGTATACATGCAGGAGTCACATGATCTGGGTGTGTTAGTCTCACTGTGACAAATTTTAGGACCATTTCAC